AGAAGGAGAAATAGAGAAAGCTGGAGACAATGCTGAAAACACCGGCCGACGACTACGACGATAAACAACAACGATTAGGCCGGAGTTGTAAGCCGAACTGGTACCGAAATGGACCTGCACTCATTTAGTCTACCGCTGAAGGGCTGGCCGATCAACAAGCAACATCGCTGCAATCGTTGGCGTAACAATCAACACATATTCGCTATCATATATATGCGGTGCTATAGATAAAGTCAATTTATCCGTTCATCTAAACCATACGCTCACAAAACGAAAGCGAAACCTGAAGTAGCAGAATTCGCAGGCAACGGCTATTAATCTACGCTGGATACGACGTTGCATTGGACGCAGCTCTAAACGAAATGATCCAGTGCGGAGTAGTTAATGCAGTTACTTTACATATTCGTCAAAGCGACCGCTATTTAACCTCGGCATTCATTTATCCAATTTTATTTTTATTTTACATGATCCGTTTTCAGCTCTACTATGTAGATCCCAGCACTTATCACATTCGATTCGCCACCTCGCATCCATTGTACACGATGATCTTCCAGCCTTTTACGTGTAACTTCGGTTGCTGCTTGATGATTTTCATTTCATCTTGAATGTCGTAGAATGCTGATCGAGCAATTCTCCCTGGAGTCCTAAGATAGCCGAGTTGGAGCGTTCCCAATTGGATTGCAGAAAGTAATTTTTTTCCCAGATAAATCCGGTGGCAATTTTCCGACCACGGAGGGAAGAGGGGCTTGGTTGGGAGGGCGGAATCGAACTAACACCATGCTCATGGTGACGGGCGCGCTCTACTGAAAATGGTCCGACTTGATACCAGGACGAAGACACCACATCGAGAGGATGAATGGTCGCGGACCATCGACTCGAATTGTCGGCTCTGAGAAAGACGAAGATGTCGAAACGATCGCCGAATAAACTTTTTTATTAACCCCATGTTAGCTTAGTAATTCAAAGTTATTATTTAGTTCGAAACCATATTTGAAAGAATTCAACTATATACACGGATGCGTGTAGCACAGTGATAAGGGATTAACTGCAATACACACTGCATCGGCCTCAGGTTCGATGCGACGAGTAGGATCCACGAAGCCTTCAATACCTCCGGGGTCAGCAAATTGGTACGAAGTTTGTCTCACTGGATAGCAGCACTAACTTGATCGATCGGTAGACTATCGCAAATTATTGTATAGGAGAGATTTAAATCCAATCACCTGTAATAAAATATAATGAGGTCGAATGCATGGTGCATCCCTTAGAGAATGATCAACACCGCCAGCGTCTTCCTTTTAACCTTATGAAGTAAATCAGAGCGAAAATGAGTGACCGATAACATGTTGGATCGTAGTCATTAATTGAGTTCACGAGAAGCCATTAAATATGGTCAGAAATCGCTTAGACAGATTCCCTAACTTTTGTGGCAGTCATTTCTGATCAGAAAATTTGCTGCTTATCTGCTTTTATATGTCTTCTATTTTTCGACGCAACATTTTAGACCTTTCTTATATTGGGCATTAATCGACTGGATGAGAAGAGGATAGCGCAATGGTTAATGGTGCCATCGATCACGAAACAAAGACGCTAGTTCGACTCCCTCCACAAGGCTGTCCTCCCCAATCCACGTGAGAACGCTTCAGCCTGGCCATCTCTAAGAGTGGAAGGAAAGCGACTCGACCAGAAATCTACGTACGACATTCATGAAGAAGACGAAATCCTGAAGCAACAGTTGAAACAACACGCGAAACGTTCGAAGACCATAGTGGACGATCAATGCGAGGAAAACGAATCGAATGCGAGAAGTGCTGGGATTCGCACAGTAGATGTGATGACGGGCTATGTAGAATAAAATAACAAAAAAAGCCACTTGGACAACTAGTACAAAGCCGATTCCACTGTCCCGCACATACAAACGAGTATGCAAATTTCAGTCTGATTTGTGCTGAAAACGGTTCATGACAATGCGTTTAAAAACAGAGAAATAGGAGGGACTAAGTAAAGATATGGGATAAGAAGGAATGACTAGGAAGACTTTACAATGAAATGCTAATGAATAATAGTTTGAATCTACTATGAAAGAAGAAGCAACTAAAAGTGCTATATTTTAGAAACGCATTTTCCAGTACTAAATAAGCTACCAGAAATGCAGAGTATGTGATATTACCGTTTCCTATACCATATCCTTCCATGTGGCGATACTACGGTCATACTCCATCAAATGGAACAATGTCCTAAACACAGCTAAACGTTATTATTTCTCTTCAGTTGTTACAACGACTCATTCTAAAACCGAAATTCGGGTTTTTTGGTGCTTCACAGTGAATTTTCGGCTTAAAAAGCTATACAGGCCTGCGAAAACTGAGTATTTTATAATCAGACATATTACGAATTGGTTGATTCGAGTTGATATCTTGCTGTGTAGATGAGCTAACCCGACGTCGCTACAAAGCTTTACTGTTGCTGACATTTTGGCAGCTTTGTCTTCTTCCGTAATAATTCGAATCAAGTAACCAGAACAGCTTTTTCCCTTCGTAACTTGAGTCTTCATTGGCGCACCGAATCGAATCCACTGGAGGGAAATGCCAAACGAATGAGGAAACCTCCTTCGGCCGTGCACTCTCATAGGGAACGGTTCTTACCTAAAGTCCAAAGACGGAAGGGGTGAACGAGTCAAAATGCCAGCAAAAATAGAGCTTTGTAGCATCTTCGTATCACTTTATCGTGCTTGAATACATGGATGGCCTGTCTTCCCTGGCTGCGCGGGCACAGACCTAATGCCCATTCTTTCGGAGTTTTGCTGGTCTGGCCACTGTGATTCCCTGGTGTCCGAAGGTCAGCCTGGCCAACGTTTGCCCCAGGTCGTAGCGACCACAGGTAATTGCCGCTCTTGTCAATCAGACAGAAATTTGCCAGCATGCAACTAGTTTGATATCAGAACGGTGGTGGATCCTGGTACATGTTTACTCATGCTGGGCTTGCTGACAGAAACGCCAGACTCCTCAGCTTGGTACGCAACCTGGTGGATGAATCCCTCGCTGTATATCGCACTCCGACACCCAGGAACACCTCCCAGCCACGATGAGGCGGTAAACTGCATGGAGGATATCAACTTATCAGTACAACAAAGTATTGACTTTTCATCCTGAGGTTGAATAAGAGTCGAGTTTCAAAAATACTGTTAGATTGGTAGTGATATAAACCTTTTATAAGAAAAAAAAACAGGAAACCATTATTCCAGAGAAATTGAAAAAAGCAGAAAGCAAGGACGTATTAAGAGTTCTTCAAATTTCCAGAGAATTCATTAGAGAACCTTGCGGCCATGGTTAGAAATTTGTGCAGGAAAACACTACACGGTAGAACGATGCGTAAAATTTTCATTAAAATCACATGGCAGCGTAGAGATGAATTTTCTGAGAAGAACGGAATAAAAAGGAAGGGTGATATGAGACCGTACTAAAGTAAATCGTGACTCTATAAACTTGACATTACAATTAATAGAAGGGTAAAACTCTGCCCTTGATCATTCTCTTAGGGATGTGACATGCATTGGACCCATCCTAAGGTTCGCGTAGGTGATTAAACCATTGTGATTGCATGTTCCGTCCATATAATGACTCTTCGGGGTCCACCGACGTATCAGGTGTTTTTATCCTCCCAGACAAATCTGGTACCAATTTACCGACCACGAAAGAAAAGAGGACCTAATTTGTTGCGCGATCGAACCAAGAACCAATTGTCTTCCATAGAAACTCTAACTATTGTGCTATACGCACTAGTTATAGAATGTAAGATGAGAAGCACGCAACGACACCGTAGGAAAGACAGCTATATTAATTTGAAAACATATTATTTTAAAACTTAAACATGAAACTTAAAACATAAAACTTAAACTAACAAACTCACAGACTAAAACTTAGAACTTCAAATCTTAAATCATGGATGTGTACTCAAGAAATAAAAGCATTTTTTCCTGCGAACAAATTCCTGTGAAGTTTGTTAGGATGTCATTTTTAATACAATTAACACCTGTCATTATACTTCTTTGTCCTTTACTTAATACATAACAAACATCAAGCAAACGCAATAAGCAGATATTCCAAAGGCCTGCCACAGACCGCCTAGAAAATAGGACAAAATTGCTTTTGATTCCAGAGCTTATTACAGTAACTAAGCAAGTTTTCCAAAGGAATGGCAACTGGAGAAGAAAATAAAGTGACCATGCGAAAAATATGATTTGATTAGGTTTTAAAAAAAGCAACAGTCGAGCAAAGACAAAAACGGGCGAAGTGAACATAACATGAAAAGGATGTTGATGCGGGTGAGGCGGCGGGTCACCGGTCATCACCAGATTAAAGGTGTTTTCTGGAAACTGTGAATGGTATGGCATAGGTGGAAAGTGGGGCGGAAGAAAACATATCGTTACTAATAAACACTTTCGTAACAGCGTTCTGCCGGTTTTCTAGCGTTTCCATGAAAAACTGTATGGACGAAGTTTACCACTTTCACCATCTCGTTTTCCCCATAGTCGTTCGGTAATGGAAACAAACAGCAATTGCTTCTACGGCATGGACTACCGGTAAACTTCAGTCAACATGACCAGTAAGTTTAGCTTTCCTTCAAGGACATAATTATTGAAGAAATCAAAATAGTTCATGAATCAAAATGGAGTTCTCAATACCACTAGAGATGTAAAAAAAAGAAAGTTACCTTCTTCAATGTTGGAATCCACGGCACTTCAGACGTTTTATTTTTCTTCATTATTCTTAAGACACCTTAAGACACGTCACAGGCTTAGAACTTGTGTTTTCTCCAGTGTTTAAATCAAGAGTGCTTATATACACCTATGTGAAGCGATTTAAAACTTCTAACCGTTCACTCATATTTGATACATATGATGAGCTCTTTACTACCTCACGTAATCTAGTTCTTCAGTGAACTTCGACAAAACTGCGGTTTCTCTTCTTTCGATTCTTCCTGTTTATGTAAGTTGAGAAATGTGGCAGTTTCGACGCCTCACTTTTGGAGGAGAAGCAGCCCTTCGCTCTCGCATGCACTCGAACGCGGATGCTTTCACCGGCTTATCGGGCGATGTCGTGCTGCACAACGGGTTCCCAACTCCTCAGGCTGACATTGCGTTCTCCCACACGACTGGAAAAACGGCAAATGGGCGTCGGATCGTCCCACTCTCGCCCATACTGCCTGCGTTCCATGTAATCCAACAATGAAATCGAAAGTAACCCACATAACACGCAAAAACCGATTACTTCCTTGTTTACATCATCAAACATATATATTGTCCGTTTTCCGGCAATTTTCTCTTTTGATTCGTTTTATCGCAGTAGGCATCTACGAACGTTTTCTAGCATTTTGTGCGTGGTTTCGGCTGCTGTTTGAGAACTTGGTCATGTTTATGGATGGCGTCGGATTCCGGTAGAGTAGTTTGTACCTTGAATACGAAGGTAAAGTGTTAGTGCTTTCCCAAGTCTTCATTATGGCTAGTCGCTAACCCCTGTGGTCCAGAAAGCGCTCCTTGTAGCGAAGTCTTGTACCAACTTTCCTTACCATCGAAAGGATGGGAGGCTTGGTTGGCTTCGTGCTCGATCGAATCAGCGATCTTACGTTTATTAAGTACGTACAACTCTAGTTACTGTTCTTCCCTCACCACCGATTGTACATTAGAGTTGCCGATCTTTGAAGCGTGAATCCTAGGACAGAGACTGAACTGTTAAGATCGAAAAATGTTGCATAAGCAAAACAGATGTAAACCGAAAATAAAAACTAGTATGGCAATTAAGTGAGCCTCTGCTAGACTAAATCGTAAGCTATAATCAGCATAACGAAGCACTTTGTTTAAGGAACATGAGAACTGACAATATTCGGAAACAACTTAGAATTTCAGACTTTAGATCATTCAATTGCATGGGATAGAAAATTTCACAGACGTGGTACCTTTTTACTAACACCTGTAATAACAGCGATCACTACATAACTGAAGCAGCTAGAAGGTAGCACTTCTACCAGCCTGAATAACACAATGATTCCATTCGCTCGAGAGTCATGACGAACGTCTTAGGTTTCGATAAATGACTTCGTGAAAAAGTCCGACCAGCAAGCCAATTTTCTTCTTATTGTGAGTTCGACATCCATTTGGACCTAGGTGCCTCTGGTATCCGCATATACAATTCTCTAGATTTTCGATATGGTTGCATATAGTGCAGCATCAGTGATTTTTGATCGCCAGCATGGATCGGTCGCTTCTCGCTGACTGATCTTTCATCTTACTCATATACCGCCCAGACTTTGATGGAATGCCTTAATACAACAATAAAATCCTAGAGACGAAAAGCTGGACATAACGATCTCTTTCTCTTTCTAATTATATCCCCGATGCTTTAGCAAGTTCTTCAAGCTACTCGTTTTCTTCTAATTAAGAAACACTCTTCCCAGTTCACACCATAAGATTGTGGAACGAGTTTTGAGATCTCATTGTTTGAAATATTTTTATACTGCTACAAGGATACTGAGATAGAACATGCCTCGGTGAGCGCAGTGGATAACACATGAGCCAGCGGAAAGGGTCATCGCGAGTTCGACGCTCAATAGGGGGTTCCAAGTTTTGGTCGTATTTTAGTCCCCTTGTGGTTGCTTTCCACATAATACTCTGCCATGAAAAATGAATAAGCAGCAAACGAAAGGTAAAACATTCGAAATGAAAATGTTATCAGGCCCAATGAATCTTTGTCAAGGTCTGCTGCATCTCTGTCGAAATAAATCTCAATCTGAATTATTAAATCTAGTTTCCACGTTCATCATAAGTTCTAAGTGCATTCCTCTTTTGTTTCTGTAGTTCTCATCGTAAGTACAAGCGAAATAATCGAATGATGGTGGAGCCAAACAAATGGACTAGCAATGCAACAACCCATGGTGTTGTGTGATCCACTTGAATAGTGTCTACAGGATAAATGTTGGTTGTCGCTACGTTCACGATTCGATGTTGTCCTCCATGTTTTAAAGAGTAAAAAGTTTCATTAGTGGTTTCCAAATTTCAAAATGATATTTAGTTTTTTTTATTCTTAACTCTTCCCAACGGTTTACCGCCTCATCGTGGCTGGGTGTTCCGAATGCCAAGCTGCGATGTACACAGAGCGATTGATCCTTCTTGCAGAACCTTTCAAGCTAAAGAGTCCGGCGTTCTCATCAGGAAACCCAGCTAAGAGTAAACTAGTACCAGGATCCACCACCGGCTCAGAATCAAACTAGTTGCATGGTGGCAAATCCCCCTCTGATCCACAAGGGCAGCGACTGGCCGTGGTGGTGCCGACCTGGGGCAGAGTTCGGCTAGGGTGACCTTAGGAATCCAGGGAAATATAGTGGCTAAACCAGCAAAACTCCAAGAACTGGAAATTATACTGGGGGGCCCGCACAACCGGTGAAAACGGGCCATCCTAGTATCCAAGTAAGTATTCTTATTCTGAAAAAGAAAACCTATTTGAAGAATGACTGCTAATCCAACCTTTTTGAGCATCAATGTAGGAAGCAATAAGAATAGAGATTCTAGACGTGGGCTAATCTATGTCTTAGTGTGTTATATCCCTGTAAGTGGCGACATTTAAGGCGTAATCGGGTGATAGCCATGCAGTTAACATATTGCGGACGATACGAGTCATGTATAACTCATATATGGCCACAGTTTACCATCTCAAATTCGCGCCAATACATCTCAGCTCATATTAATTGAAGTAAAAATCTGTACAAACTTCCCAATAATACACAAGTTTTCCATATCAACTCATAAAGAAAACATCTCGTCTAGAAAATAGTGATGAAAGTTCCTTTTTATATAACCTAGATTTGGTGCCTCTATATTACCTAGCTTTTCAAAAACAATGCAACTAAACAAGCATGGTTCCACCAAGCAGAATAGGCTAGTATCACTAGCGCATCCCTTCAAATTTTGAAAAACCGACTTTTTCCGTTTGGAACATTCAAAAAACTAATTTGAGTACAACATTCAAAGATATTTGTCCTTAAAGAAGTTGGGTAAAGTGTCTCCCAGAAGTCTGTCAAGTGAAGCAATCAAGTCTAATTATCAAGAAAATTTCTTAAAAGCAGAGCGAAGACAATGAATGTGGACTGAAGGGATGGATTGGCATTTTCATTGAGGGCGTACCCACTTTGCACATTCTGTGAATACTTAATGTTATCCAAGAATATCTATGTGGTAGATCGGAGTGCATAACGATTGCATAATGCATTTTGATTCCGTAACAATTCTCAAATCGAGAAAGTGGGAAAGTATACATAAGATGCTCTGAGTTACATTCAACACGCCTATCGTCTAATACAACAAAACCCGAGTGCCAAATGTTGCTACACACTGGCAGAATCATTACGTCAACCAGAATAAGAAACAGTTATACTCAAAGTCGACGTCCACTATCAGTAAAACATGCCACCTTCTAGCAAAACATTCACCGATAGAAAACTCCGACTTTTCTTGTTCAATGCGAGTCTAATCAATGGAGATGTTAGCGCTTCCCTCTACAGCACAAGTACGTAACCTACTTATTGACCATGAAGACATTAAAGGCTTCGTTCACTGCAACTCACGTACAAAAAGGAGCCATGAAAGCTCCTTGAAGCACCACGTCACGTCCTATATTCTGAAGAAAGCAGTAACATAAGATATGATACACGTACAGCATTTAACGAGAAATCTTTACACATATATTCTCTGGCCAATGAATACATATAAATCCTGCAAAAAGAAGATGATTACACGAATGGACAATTACACGTAGGAGAAGGTGAACATAGAACTAGCAAGTTCCCTTGTTAGCAGGCCCAGATGTCGGCTAACGGCTTTCGAATGTCGTCGGTCAGGATGTCAGTTCAAAACTTCCGGATATTGCTGGACAATCATGTCACTAACCTTATTTACCTGCAAACATTCGGATAAATGATATGCATAATATTAAAGCCATAGTGCAAAGATGTCAACAAACGAGGTTCACGAACTATATTTTATCACGATACCGAAAGACACCAAAGGGTTGTTCAATGGCAGTCGGCAGGTTGGATATGCCAAACTGCAGAAGCCGTCATGGATTTTGTGAATATAGAGTGCTGAAGTAACCAAGTAGTTAATGAAGGCTTTAAAAGTATTATTTATTAATAACATTGCTTTCCACCAAACGGTTTATCGCTTCATCGTGGCTGGGAGGTCTTCCGGGGTCTCGGACTGTGATGTACAGCGAAGGGATTCATCCTCCCGGCAGGATCTTCCAAGCTGAGGACTCCAACGTTTCCATCAGGAAACCCAACTAAGAGTAAACCAATATCAGGATCCACAACCGTCCTGGTACCAAACTAGTTGCATGGTGGCAAATACCCCTCCGATTCACAAAGGCCGTGGCTGCCTGTGGTGGTGACGACCTGGGGCAGACTTTTGGCAAGCTGACCTCGGGACTGCAGAGAACCACGATGGTTAGACCAGCAAAACTACAAAAAAATAGAGATTATGCTAGAGCTCGCACAACCAACCTGGCTGGGCCATCAAAGTGTCAAAATGGGTACTACTACTTTAGCAGTGTTACATGAAAAATGGTCTAGTGAAACGTAGGACTTGAAAAATAACTCAACTTTACAGAAAGCTATCAATTTTAAGAAGAAGCGTTAAATTCAAAACAGTACAGTATTATTGATGACAAGCTTTTCAAAAAAGACGGTTTTCACCATTAATTTGAATTCTGTAACTACCCCTACATACTATACAAAGACCTAGATTGGTTGATACTGGTTTTATACATCTTAGTGGTAATTTCCACATTGTAAAAAAAGTAATTAAAGTAGTGATCGATACGATTGAGACTAACCAGCTGGCAAAACATCATGATTTGCTCGTCCCACAGTTGTAACGGATCGCGCTCTGAAAAATGTACCAATTGTTGACACGTTACCAAAGGTCTATCACTTTTACAAAGCTATCACTCTCAATAAACAAGTTGTTCTTGGGCGGGAACCGGTTTCATGGCGTTCGACTACATCTATTAATAACCAGATCAGTGAGGTCGGTTGTTGAAGGAACGCTCAACACACACACACAACACGTTTTGGAGTTTTTACCTGACAAGTTTGCGCCACGAGAGAGAGAAACGTCATGGAAAAACAAGACGGCCGTGCCAAATATCAACGAAAACATAATAACATGACACCAGCGTTTTAACACTGTTATTTAATGTGTCCACGAGGACCAAAGTTAACAACGTCATGGTCCACAGCAAGACCAAGTGTGGAAATCCAAGTACAGTACTTATAAACGGATCTGGTGAAGAGGCTGGTAGAGCTTGAGCATGAAGAGTAGACATAAGTGAGATTCTGGGAGGCTGACCTCCTCATCAGAAAAAGATATTAAACACAAATGTAGAAAAAGATTGCAAAGAAGCATACGTTCGAAATGGATAAAGCCTTCCAATTGATCGATGTAACCTGCTAGTCGCTCACTCGAAATCATTTGTGCAACAATCTCCTCAGCCTAAAAGTGCCCCATGCTTGATTTCAGAGATAGAAATTGTGCTGCGGATAGAAATAAAGCACTTGACTTTTTAATTGTTATTTTAGTTCTTATTCACGAAGAGTCCTGCGAGCAAGAACACAATTCTCATTTGACAGCTAACTTGCTGATCAGACAAGATTTTTTCTCTTATGAGTCTCGTTACACTGTACTAGCGTTATCACCAGTCGTCACCACAGGCATTTGTCGGCCCTAATAGATCGGTGTGAGATCTATCACCTTGCGGCAAAAGTGTTACTTCGACGATGACAAATCATAGCACTTCTTTATTCCTAGCTGTATTTCCTAGTAGTAGGGGCGATTAGTTCCTTCTTAACTTGAGCGACACTACTGAAAAGAGTTCATCTCCAACAAGGTTACTCAAGCAGAGAACAAGTTCCAAATCTCCTTATGCAAGCTCAGCTAGAAGCAAACCGAATAAATGTGGCATTATGCCAAAAATTAGTTGCCTTTCACACCTCTTTATTGAGTGGACCAAACCCAATAAATCGGTCTGATAAATAAAGGACAGGTGACACTATTTCATGAACCAGGTAGGCTAAATTGGAACTTTCATCTGCGTTTGTAATTCCAAAACAATGTAGCAGAGTTCCCGAATTTCTAACCTTTAAAAAAAGAGTGTTTAGATTAAAATAATACATGTAATGACAAACAGTTGCTAGCTCATCTTTAAAGGTTTACAGTAAGTGTAAAGAAAAAGTAGGCACGTGTAGCTCAGTGGTCGGAGGCGCCCTGCCATAAACATGGGATCGACCTCCGCGTCTTAGACCCACTAAGCCATCCATACCTCTGGGGTCGGCAAATTGGTACCAGACTTGTCTTGGAGGATAGCAGCACTGGTTCCATACATCGGTAGGCTAACGCGAGTCATTGTAAAGACCAGATATGCATTCAAGCACCTCCAACGATGCTTAACGAAGTCGAATGCACAGAGCATCCCTCAGAGATTGATCAAAGCCGAGAGATTTTTTAGCTTTAGGTGTAAAAGTGTGAAACCTAAAACTTCCCTCTACTGAATATCGTGCAAACAGGTCCGAGGCTACACGATAAAATGTACTCCCAACGCACCAGCAAACTACACTTTGAAGGATGAAACAATGAATCAATACGAGAGCATAAGCGAGTATAGAGCTATCTTATTTCGTTCTATTTCTGCTCTACAAGAATGAGGGGACCTATTTTACTTCAAATTTGAAACGGCGGATGGCTTTTTCCCTCTCTTGGTCTTAGAGAGGAAAGGATAAAAGTGTTCTCTCCATCAGATTTCAGTTCCTATTTTCAATGAACCTAAGTTTTACAATGAAAGGGAAACTAGAAGTCACCTTCTCTGAAGAGATTCCAAGCAATTCGGCAAGAGTAGAAAGGGCGATATTGTTGTACAGTCTTGATACGGCAGTCATATTATGTTCTACGATTACTCCCTCGACAATCGACTGACCATGCTCATTCGTTCGCTGATGAGGCTGTAGTTCTTTTTCGAATTCCACTAGCTGAAAAAATGTTGAAATTATGGCTATGGCAGATTCAAAACTACGAAACGGATATTGACCTCATTTGCGCTTATAAGCCTATCTAAATACAGCTTCTCCAGAAGTGGAAACGACGGCACCTGGGTAGCCCGTGGATCTTTGAACAATGTTGTTAACATTCGCGATCGAGCGTAACCTAAAAGTTGAATTTTAAGAAATTGTGTGCGAAACCCTTAAAACCATCTAGGAAGCTGTCTAGAAAACATCTAAAAGCACTATACGATACAAACCTCTGAGAAGAGAACTTTGTATAGACATATAAACATCGATGATAAACCAGAAATAAAACTTTTCTTCTACTTATATACGACTCGTCTTTCACATCTGCTGCACAGATTTCGGCATTTCTTGTATTCGATTCGTTTCCTTGCGTCAACAATCCACGAAGTTCTTTCGTTTTGCGTGTGGACCCCTTTGATGAATGAGGATTTTCTTGTCGTCATGAATGTCCTGTTCATTTTCCCTGGAGTCCTAAGATAGCCAGGCTAGAGCATTCCCAAATGCACTTCACAGAGTGAACCTTCACCAGACAATTCTGACACCAATTTCCCAACTCCAGAAAAATGAGGGGCTAGGTGAACCCAGTGAGTGGTAGAACCAGCACCATGTAATAGTCGATATTACTATCACCGCGCTACCCGCCCCCTAAAATAATTTTTAACTTTCTTTAGAGTTAAAAATGAAAATAGAAATAAAAAAACCTGAAAGCTTTCCGGGCTTCCATTACTTCTTTACTTTCATGCATAAACAGCAAACCCTTGTGCGCGTTCATTAAATTGGTACTTTATTCATAAGAGAATGTGCCCTAAGGTTTTGATATAATCAGTTCATTTTTGCTAAGATGAAAACGATTCTGGGCAAAAATTTAGTTCCAGGTGAGAAAACCAGATAGAAATGTTGGATGTTTTAGTTTAGATGAATCCGCTTAAAGAATCCCATGTTGTACATCACGGTTTGACAAGTGACAATCTCTGTCAAAGAGCTGCAGTAGACTCTTGAGGAGTTGGAATTTTCTAAGGCGTAAGAAAGCAAAGCATACTACAAAAGAGACATGGATGCGATGACCCCCAACATACCAGGAGCGGCAAGAATTGTGCACGTGATTGAACGGGAAAGAGCTGTTCTTTGGTCAGATTTGGGAAGGTCCTCAATCAGTGATAACTCATGATAACGCTGCGCTGCATCAGTGAACTTACGTCGCCCATCCAGCACTCGAGCATAAATAGCCTGAAGACATTCCCATATTAACAAGACCACTATGGCCACCAAAATATAAACGATCAGGATAGAATCATCCTCAGACCTTATACTCCACGTTGAATACGTCGCAGCCTTTCTCTGTTTGTAACATACTTGCTCTGTTCACGTACTTTTCCGCCTCAGCACAATCGCCAATGTCTAACAACAAGCGACCAATGCGAAGGTAGAGTCCCATCTTTTGGTCGGGAGAGCATGGACTACAAACAAAAATATGCACAAGTAGAAGATTAGACAGGATTTGAAACTCTTTGGTGCACTCACCGTTGAGCAGAATCAGCAAAATTCTTCCGCAAAACGTCTGCTGCCTCAACAAAGCGTCCAGCTTTTTCATGAAGACTAGCTAGGCGCATACGGATAGCGTATTTCTAAATAGTAGAAAACAGTCTGGGAAAAAGATAGCTCTAACGATGGGGCAAGCGCACGAACCTGTTCCTCAAAAGCCAGACTTGTCATATCAAGTGCTTCAAGCACAGCTTCAGCCAATATGCGAAGTGAAGCGTCATTTTGCTGACAGGATTCCACACGGGATGCTATTGCGGTTATGAGTTGTCTCGACACAACTTGGCTTCCAGCTTCAAGGGTGATCACTAAAAATGCTAAAACGTCTTTAGGTAGCTTGCTCCTGTGTCATTTTCTATCAAAAAATCCACATATTTTATTCTGCTTGGTATCAAAATAGGCACAATAGATCCTTGCAATAAAGCTCAAAGTCTACCTGATCTGATAAGTGTAATAAGCGGAAGAATATCTGCCTCTGATTTCACTTCAGTAGGGAAAACTCTCTCTGCAACGACAGATAGCCTAAAGAAAAAGAATCTATGAGATGTATATATAAATGCGAAGGAAAAAGGCGAAAAAGCTGAACATGTGGGATATGATTCTGAAACCATTCTTCGAACGATGTAAAGACATTTCTTCGCCAGAACTTGAATCATAAAAGAGAATATATGGCACGCCAGTGAAGAAGTGATGATCTTTATCTTTCTACAGAAGGACAGAAGGAAACCTTGCATATAAGAATACACTTACTTGTCATATTGTGACTTGTGATCAGATTCCTTCGCCATGATCTTGGCGACCTCCGCTACAACAGCGGTTTCTTCAGCTGACAAACTACTCATCACGCTCAACAGCAGCACCTATCTGCTTTGCCCTTCGGTAGTTTCTAGGAAAAAGAACATAATTAGCATCCATATCTGGAAGACACATGTGTTCACCCAGTATTATCACTGCCTTACTCGGGAGAGATGAAGACAGAAAGATTTAACACGCGAGGACTCCAAACACCAAACCTCTAAAATACTAATATCAGATTGTTCGAAAATTAGCGGACTGTTTCAACGTACATCTTTACAGTTTGGAGTAGACCAGAACTTAAAGATGCACTGTAATGCACACATCGGTCGCTGGTTCGATCCCGCAGCGGCCTAGCAAGATTCCTATTCCTCCGAGATCGGAATAATCGTTGCCAGATTTGTCACGGAGGATAGTAGCACTGATTCGATACATAGGTAGGCTACGGCAAGTCAATTTATACGTCACATATGCATTCGCTTACCTCTAACGATGCTTAATGAGGTCAAATGCATGCAGCACCCCTCAAAGACTGATTAACCCTGAAAGCTCCATCCTTTATACTGCCCTTTTACAGCGGCATCTCCCAGTTAATAATAAACCTCATAAATTGAAAAAACAACTGTTGGAGTCTACATAGTGTTCCAACTTTTATTTTAGTAGCGTATTCATTTTTCATGAGAAGTTACGACATGGAATACAACTAAGAATACTGAGATATGAGGAAAACCAAGAACCACAGATGATCCTTCGATTACCCAAACCAGAAGATCGACATCATCCTATCTACCACACCAACCAAAGTCCTTACTGTCTTTCCCTAAGATATACTTTTAGTCTCATTTTTTTAAAACCCTTTTTAACGAGTGCCGATAGAGTACAAATATTGTTGCGAGATTCATGTCACTTAACTGGGATATAGAAGGAGAATGGCACTCCCTCTAATGAGTCTGAGAAAATCGTCGATCCACACCTTTCTACTATGTCTCTGAATTCCCAATTTCTATTGATGACCACCAGACTGATCATGTATAATCCGTTTCCTTCGTCACAGCTTTTTAGACAGCTCTCTAGGAATAACTTCGTAAGCAAGAGAACTCAAATGTAAGCATCACCACAATTTTTACAATAGCGCAGCCAAAACAGCATAATATTTTCCCTCTTAAGGCACAGGGCGATGAATATCTGATCTGAATGTTCGCGTGCTTTTCCTCCCTTTGCAGTCACTATGATGAATGTGCTCCGAACTTATCAGGAACAGGACTTCGAACTATTTTGAAAACATGAGATAATGTACAGATCTTGAAGGCGGCATAGGATAGATAAAAAAGCACAGAAAAATTGAATAACAGACAGAAAAGTATAGTAGAATAAATCACTCGAAGTGGTAGGGTACTTCGGCCGCCGAATTGAGTCACACACAAAATCATGTGACATACCGAAAATTAGAGGTCACTAAAAGCACCCACCAAAACAAAACAGGCGCCGTCGCTAATGTTCTTAACCACCCAATAATACTGCGAACCTATCGCTTAACAAAGTTATGGGTATGGTTACGATTAAATATTTACTCCAGTAACAAAACCGACAACTATGACCATAACAGTGATTATCAAAAAAATATGCGGTAAAAAATTAATGAAGGGATGTTTACAACAGATTTCAAGCATGAAAATACGGGGAATGCAATCAAGCAATCACTCCGAACTCTGCATTAAAACAAAATTAGGTAAAAGAGATAAAGTTAAACAAAGATCAGAATCGAATAAGTCTTAGTAAAAAAAAAACATTCACACCATCCCTTCGTCGTCTTCGTCCTGAGGTTTGGGCCCGCGAGGAGTAGGACCACCTGCTGCTTGTTTGGCAATGATGATCTAAACGATCCAAATACAGGGACAAAGGTTCTCAGTATGAATGCATAACAAGGAATACCCACACAAACATCAGCAAAATTCGTAATTTTGAAAAAAAGAGTCAATAGAGCGAGGGGAAAAGAACAAAATTTATATATAGACGTAACATGATCCATGTTGATTATAAGGCTCAAAAAAATGATTTATAAGGCAACGGAAACAATACCTGGTCAACTTTCAGGATCGTAGCAGCCGCATCAGTTGCTAGCTTGATGGCGAGTTTTTTTCCAGCATAAAGATCCAAAATATTGTTCTCTGCTGCGTCCATGATATCTAAACAAATTTAGCGTTAATTGAAAAATGCCACCACAACCGAAGAAAGTAGGTAACACAACAGCACCGTGCTTCCAGATATCGATACCCGCGTTCCGCTGACCAGTTTCGTGTGCTGCATTGAGCTTTGTTAAGATGTCAGTGGCCTAAAAAGACTTTCATAAAGAATAAAAACTTCCATCATGGTTCGATTATATATATATATATATATATGTGTATATGTATACATATATACATGCACATATACATATGTATATATACAGCGCGTATAGCGAAGTGGTTAGAATCTTGCAATGTACAGGCGTTTGACCACGGGCTTGATCACATCCCCACAACCCCACTCTTTACAGGTTCGCTAAGCCTTCCACCCTTCCGAGGTCGGCAATCTGGTACCAGACTTGTCTGGTACTATAGCAATAATGACTCAATAAGAGCCAGACATGACCTATATATTGACTCGATTCACCATACATTCAATCACCTCTGGCGATGAATAATGAAATCGAATGCATGGAACATACCTATGGATTAATCAACGCGGGGACTTTATCCTTTATATATACATGTATGTATGTATACATATACATATATATATACATATGTACATGAACGTGTATATAAGTGTATACACATAGAGATGAATATATATATATATATATATATATATATATATGTATATACTCAACGTTCAAAACACTGCGATTAACAAAACTTACGTCCATACCAGAATTCTCCGCAATACATTTCGGCAATGTTTCCAATGCATAAGCGAATTTTTTAATAGCATACTGTTCTAGTCCCGGGCATTTTTCTCCGTAATTTTCGATCTGTCGGGCCAACTCAATTTCCACAGCACCAGCACCGGGAAGAACCTAAAAATAACGATAAGTACAAGACAACATATTTTAAGCCAAACACCATCTAAAATATATGGACAGAACATAACAAATAGAAATGATTAGTAGATTCAACCTTTCCATCTTTTGTGAGGGCTTTGTAGGTATTAATCGCATCATCGACAGCACGCTCAACATCATCTATTCGCGACTGACTAGACCCACGAATCAAAATTGTTGCCACATTTCCTTTCTCCCCCTAAATGATTAAGTGGACATTGGAAAAAAAACGACATAAACAGAAACTGAATGGACAGTGTTAAAATACTCCCTAACATTTTTTGCCAGTTCTCAATGAGTAGCGTTTCGGCGAATTTCCCCTCTTCACTCCGGTCTTGGCTATAAAAGTTGAAACCATCCACATACTGTTCGTCCCAAATCAAGATCAGTATGCGATAAACACAGTAATTAATTAAATAGTCCCGTGCAATTCTAATTTGGCCCTCGCAGCTTGGGAAAGCTTTACAGCGAAAATCACATTGCACGTTAAGTCGCAACAACGATTTCGTCGCTCTTCAAGATCTTCGGAAAACAACGTAGAACTCGCAACAGAGCCTAAAAACTGGGATGGGACAGGAAAGGAAGCCAAGAATGATGGCAAATGAACAAAAGAACCAGCTGCTAGCTGAAGTACAGAGAATGGGAAAACATTCCGTAACAAGGGGAAGTATGGTATTAAGGTAATCGCACCAGCGCTTTCAAAGAGAAGTCACTGCACCCATTGCTGATAAGCTATGAGATTATCGACAAGCTCATGAATGACTTCCACATCGAATTCTTTGGCAGCTACGGCCATCCTTCTTCATGCAATCTCAAAGAGGATGGATGATAAGGCAGACCACTCTCTAAGATTCCAAGAAAGAAAAACTCTGTCCAACCAGCAAATTATCTGGTAAACGAATAGTGCACTTGTACCCACACAATTCTTCGTGAAAACAGGTCACTCAAGTATCTAGGCATGTAAGTAAGCTCGACATATTGGGGTGTCAGTGAAGAATCATGCATTACCTAGCCCTGAAAATATTAAACCTAGACAGCTGAAGATTTTACCGACAATTTGACCTCCACCAACATGAAGACTTTCCCATCTGTACACATCGAAAGGACGCTAGAGACCTGACAGAATAGAGTGCAGAAGATGCAAGAGCGTGCTGTAGAATGAAGAACGTTTGAAATTACATCACCAACCACAGCTCAATGCTCGTGCTGCCTGTCGATTAGAAGTTCTTTATCCGAATTGTCAACAAAGATTAAAGAAGAAAGGACAAAAGATAGCCCCGTTTGTGCACAGGCTCTTTATATCTAACGCATATTCGAAGTTTAGACGCTGATCTCGCGAAAGCTACCATAACTCGCGTCCAAATTGACGAAAGGCAGTCTCAAAAATAAGATGTGTTAGCGGTGTGGCAAGATTTTGAAAATGGGCTAAATCGAAACATGGCAACAAACCTTGTTTTCAAAAACTACCACGCTCTCATCACCGATCTCCTTTACGTAGACGGCATCGCACTTCCCAAGTAAATTTACAGCAGGAGCACACTAGAATACGGACTAATATTACAAATATTTCAGAAAAATATGTTGATGAGCCAAAAAACGGAGTAGGAAGATAATCTCATAATGTAACAAAATCTAACTACACGAACTAACGAAGAGCTACTGATTAAACCTTACAATTCTAGCCTGGGCCTGGGCTCCCACAGTACGACAGAGACGCCGTAGGTCAAACTTCGACGTAAGTCTAGATACGACATTGTGACAAACTATTGAAGAAACATAAGTTTAGAAGAAGTCAATTTTAAACAAAAATCGATCCGTAGAGAAATATGCGTGACTTGAAATTTCTCTAACCTTACACCCATGATTTTATACTTGTTAAGGAAGTGTAGATACAGATCGCCAAATTTTCCTGCCGCCACAACAACCTAGAGAAAAGCAAAAACGATTTGCGTACAATGCTTGATGATAACATTACTGATTATACTTGGACTCCGTTATCAGCGAGAGCTTTCACTTGAGATTCAACTTCGCTTTCTTCTCCTTTCGCAAATCCCATCAACTCTTGTGCATTTTCGATGAGTACAGTGCCCTAAATGAACAGGCATTTTAAACAGTAGATCTTCAAAAGCACAGCAATGTTGGTCGATTTCAGTTGAACACTGTGGCAAACCTTAGTCTCGGTCTGTGTTAGATCAAATGGACACGTGAACACAGCGATCCGAGCGTTTTCCGAACTCTTAACCTCACCTTCCGCTCCTCGTTTGAAAACCATACCGTTCATTACCTGAACGGAATACAATTATTATAGTAAGTTCTTCTTAACAAGAGAATATTAAACTAAGATGGTTTGTATAGAAAGAATATATCATAGAAAATGCCAGTAAAGAACGATGAAATCAGATTATATAGAGCGATGGGTCCAAAAACAAATTAAAAACTAGCCATTGACGAATTCACTCCGGAGCCAAGGAGTTTGCAGATTCGGATGTTGTCAACATTGAAATTAAAGCTGTTTTTCGGTACAGTTCGAACTAGAAACAGAAGAATGACTGTGGTCATTGAATGCTAGAAGATCTAGCAAACATACCACAAGCTTTTGCCACCAAATCTGCAATGATTTCCTCGTTGTCGTATTGTTTTGAGGTAATAGCAGAACGCAGGAACTTTTTCACCTAAAAATTTAACTGTAATGGTCACTCCAACTAAATCAAGACAAATAATGAAGTCAATTCATTTTCAAAACTATATTAAAGGAAATAAAGCTAGGTATAAAGCACATATAAGACCTTACCATTGAAAGATCCCTCAAATCTGTCGCCTCCTGAACAACAAGACTTGGCAGGATCTCAAGCGCTTTCTCAGCAGCATGTTCGTAGCCAGCAGCGACTTCCTGTGGTGTGAGGCCCTACGAAAACGCCGTGTATAAATCTTGAACAATTGTACTACGAAGAAAAAAGCTGCTATAACAATAACAATATTCGACCCTCGAATTGTTCCTCAAACTACTACATGACCTAGATGGTGCATATACATCTGGAGGCACACTGGGTTAAAAAAGCAAATGGTGGTTAATTCAATGTGCTGCTATGCGTACCGATCCACTCTTTTGCACCATAAGACTACAACTGTACTTTGTACCTCCCAAAAATTCACTGCCTCAACGAGGCAAGGGGTTCCCGGGTGTCGGACTGCGATGTACAGCGGGGATTCATACCCTGGCAAAGCCTCCCAAACTCAGAAAGAGTCCAGCGTTTCCATCAAGAAGCCTAGCTAAGAGTAAACCAATACCAGGATCTACCACCGTCCTGTTATCAAAGTAGCATGATGGTAAATCTCCCTCTGATAGACAAGGGTGGCGACTACCTGTGGTGGTGAAGACCTGGGGCAGACTTTGGACATGCTGACCTCGGGACTCCAGGGAACCACAATCGCTAAATCGGCAGAACTCAAAAAGAATGGAAATGTGATGCGGCCTGCACAAACAGTGAAAGCGGGCCATCCAAGTAACCAAATGAGTGAGACTAAATTTGTACTGAATTAGCTTAAATCACACCAATGACGTTAGTTATTAAAAAGTTGCAATCTAATGCAGATATAGTGAGATATAAAAAAGAATAGCATTGTGAACTACCCACTTAAAGAGCTTCTACAACACCAAAAAAGATGTTTTCGAGCAAAAAACACTAATGAAAGTTGAAGTTGATGTTAAATTTCGGATGTTTGCGAATGAAACTCTCAAACTCCTTAATCACTATCGCGCGAAAAGACACAGCTCCAACCTCACTCCAGTGCAAAAACGTGGTATGCGAGAGGTACGAGACCTGATAAGGTTGAAAACCATAAGACTTTCCATTTGTGATAAGGGTGGAGAGTTTGTCGTAATTCCTCATCAGTTAGATACGGAGATAACGAAAAAGCATCTTGAGGATGCTTTGCTTTATCGCCCATCAACTGAGGAGGAATTCAAAAGTAAATACCGAAAACTAAACCACGAATGGGCCAAAATGGCAAGGGCTGCTGGTTTGAAACCATCAGTTATCTCTCAACTTAAAGTTGCCTTACCAACATGCCCCGTCTTGTACTTACTTATAAAAACTCAAAAGTTAGTGTTAGTATCCAGCGACGATCTTGCGTCTACCGATCCATCACTATTTAAGGTTAGACCTATCATTAGCTGCGTAGACGGGCCAACGGACAGGATAACATGGTTTTTAACCCTAATATTTAACCAGTTGTTGAAACACATTCCAGCCCATCTTACGAATACCCAGATGTTTCTGGATCGTCTACGTACTGCGCAGCCCAACAGCGCGTGCGTGACGGAGTCCTTCGACGTTACCGCCCTTTATACAAACGTGACGAATGACTCCGCAATGCAAGCCATATTCGAACTCCTTACACAACACGAAGGAGAAATAAACATGTATGGCTTCAGGATAGAGCACCTGATGGCACTCTTAAAAGAATGCTTGGGCTGCTCAATCTTCAGATGGTCTGGAAAGTACTACGCTCAAATAAGAGGGTTGGCAATGGGACAACGACTGGCTCCAAGCCTTGCCATTGCATTTATGTCTAAGGTGGAAGCACCNGAGTCCTTCGACGTTACCGCCCTTTATACAAACGTGACGAATGACTCCGCAATGCAAGCCATATTCGAACTCCTTACACAACACGAAGGAGAAATAAACATGTATGGCTTCAGGATAGAGCACCTGATGGCACTCTTAAAAGAATGCTTGGGCTGCTCAATCTTCAGATGGTCTGGAAAGTACTACGCTCAAATAAGAGGGTTGGCAATGGGACAACGACTGGCTCCAAGCCTTGCCATTGCATTTATGTCTAAGGTGGAAGCACCGGTGACTGATCTAGGGCCGCTACTCTACTGTAAGTGTGTAGACGACTGCTTTGTCCTTTGCTCAATACAAGAGGAAATGGACAAATGTTTCGAATTGTTAAACGAACAGTCAGAGTATATCAAGTTCACCCGAGAAAA